TGGGGACCCTGGAGGCAGAAGCAACCCCAGCTGGCTCTGGCCACGGCCTCCTCCAGCCACCTGCCTGGATTCCGCCGGCCCTGCTAGCTGCCTGGGGAATTTGCTGAGTCACTGACAGTAAGTGCTCCTGCCTGCCCTTTCTCCTGCCTGGCCTGGGACCAGAGGCAGCTGCTGTCACCACAGGACATCGGGGGTTGGGAGGAATCACAAAAAACCCTGCTGCACGATCCAACCAGAAAGATGTCCACGGTGCATCCCCAGGTCCCCAAAAAAAACCCCATGTTGACAAACACGGTGTCTGTGCCCATTTTCGGGGCCGGACGCGAGCTCCTGGGAACACCTGATGCTCTCAGAGGTTGGTTCTGGGCAGGGGACGCGACGCCTTTCTACGACGTGATCTTCCCTCCGTCTTCGGCCCACCTGCCCCACCCTGTGCTCCTTGTCCCTCTCTTCCCCCTCCATCGTAATCGAAACCACTCGCTTTTGCAGGCTCCTCCTCTTCCGGACCTCTAAAAACTAGAGACCAGGGGCTCCATCTCAGACCTCAGACAGAAGCGGGGAAAGGTTGCTCCCTAGGTGAGCTCACCAGTCCAGGACTCAAAATGCCCTTCAGTCCTCACCATATCCAGGGGATCACACCCCCGTCCAGCTACATTATATTCGATTTGCTTCTTCTCATCAGGGAGAAGATCCTGAGCTGGGACGGAAATCAAAAATTCCTGTGCTCTAAATTTAGAACTGTCTGTCTTTGGAAGGGCTTCTTTCTCTCTGGCTACATAGTTTCATTTTTGCTTAGGGAAGAAGTTCTTTCAAAAATTTCCTATCCCTTGGGGTGCCTGGGTGGCTCAGTGGGTTAAGCCTCTGCCTTTGGATCAGGTCATGATCTCAGGGTCCTGGGATTGAGCCCTGCATCGGGCTCTCTGCTCAGCAGGGAGCCTGCTCCCTCACTTCCCTGCCTGCCTCTCTGCCTACTTGTGATCTCTGTCTGTCAAATAAATAAAATCTTTAAAAAAAATTTCCTACCCTGCTCTGAATATCAGCTTCCACTGTGATCAACTTCTGACCGGCTACGGTTTAATCCCTTCGAGTATCTTGTGAAGTTGCAGTGGGAACAGAGAGAAAAGACTCCAGGCAGTACCGAAGGACTCCGGGGATGCAAGAGGTGTCCCCAGAGTCAGTGCAAAAGATAGGACTCTCCCAAGATCCGGAGCCACCCCCAAAGACGGCCGAAAGAAAGAGGACCGAGATTAATCCCCGGAGAGCTGGCAACAGGCCGGACAGCCCCAGCTGCAAATGGCGTGCAACCCAAGCTTCTGTCTGGCCATATTTGGGGGACCCCAACCTGATGGCTGCATATGCAAGGACTGATAACTTGCACCCCCTTCTAGACAGGAAGTCAAGCAAGTTCTCAGGACACGAAACCGGAGACAAGGAGGCTATAGCTGTCCACGGGAGAGAAAAGATCGACAGCCAACTGGAACCTGAATTCACAAGAGTGTGGATTTGGGAAGGAAGGGACAGTGTGAAATTGTACCTTCCTTTTCAACAGGGCTCCACAGAGATCTGGGAGAGCTGACTCTGGTAAGATTTCCCACCCTTTGCACCAGCACCCCAATGTCGATAACAGTAATGTCCACAATAGCCAAACTATGGAAAGAGTCCAGATGTCCATCAACAGATGAATGGATAAAGATGTGGTCTGTATGTGTAGACAATGGAATATTTCTCAGTCATCAGAAAATGAAATCTTGCCATTTACAATGACGTGGATAGAACTAGAAGGTGTTATACTAAGCAAAACAAGTCAGTCAGAGAAAGGCTATTACATGATCTCACTCATATGTGGAATTTAAGAAACAAAACAGGATCATAAGGGAAGAGAGGAAGAAATAAAACAGGACAAAACCAGAGAAGGAGACAAACCATAAGAGACTCTTAATCATAGGAGACAAACAGAGGGTTGCTGGAAGGGAGACGTTGGGGGGACGGGGGACTGGGTGACAGGCATTAAGGAGGGCACGTGATGTAATGAGCACTGGGTGTTACATAAAACTGATGGGTCACTGACCGCTACCTCTGAAACCAATAATACATTATTTGTTAATTCATTGAATTTAAATTTTTAAAAAGAGCAAAAAGAAGAATTCTCACCCTTCTGCCAGCTTCCGCCAGTTTTCCCAGGACCCCCACCTGCTGACACAGTGCCCCCACACAGGAGCGGCTCTGCCTGAGGCCTAGAAAGTTCTTCCAGCAGACCCCCAAGCTTAGGCGGTTGGATTAAAGCCGAACCTTGCAAGGAGAGATCCTCGAAGATGTGAATTGTGCCAACAATAGAGAAGAAGACCAAGGACTGGGACTGTGCAGGGAAGACAAGGAACCAGCGAAGGAGACAGAAGCAGGTTCAGAAGGTGTTGGCCTGGGAAGCACCGTCCAGAGGGAGACGGGCCAGAAGCTGTGCTGACTCAAGTAAGGGGAGCCCTGAAAAAGTCACCAAATACAGTGAGGTCACTGGGGACTGGGGTGTGACACGGACAAAAACGCGATGGGAATCTATCCCAAAAAAAGATAGGAAGAGATTGGAGGCGAAGGCCGGTAATTCTTTTGTGGAACTGTCTAGAAATGATAACAGGAAAAGAGGTGGGTGCCGAAGAGAGGCATAAAAAGGGAAGGGACTTTCCTGAGGATTGGGGGGGAAATGACATATTTGGGCTTTTTAAAAAAATTAATTTAATTTATTTTTTAAAGTAAACTTTACCCCCAACATGGGGCTCGAACTCATGACCCCAAAATCAAGAGTCAAATGCTCTTCCAGCTGAGCCAGCCAGGCACCCCAGAAACTGGCATATGTGTACATTGGTGGGAACTATCCAGTAGGGAGGGGAAGACAGAAGCCAAGGAGGCTGGAGCAGGTGGAGAGGTGGGCCACAGGGCACACGGTGAAGGGATCATGAGGAGGGAAGCACATGGGCCATCAAGGTGGCAGGAAAAAAGGCAGAATTGGGTGCCCAGAGGCAGGTCAGAGAATGAGACTGTTGACTTCTGATGAATTCTATTTCCTTAGTGAAATAAGGAGAAAGGACACCTTCTGAGAGAGGACAGAAGAGGAGGGGGCATAAAATAGCCCTGGGAGGGTATGCTCTCGTAGAAGGCTAACAGAAATGCCATGTGCCATCGCCAAACCAAGACAGAAGAAAAATAGAGCAAGAAAATGCAGTGGATTCAGTAGACAATAGGAACAAGGAAACCAAGATGTAAAGGGAAAATACGGCAAAGATGAAAACATACCAGAAGTCCACACATGACAGTAATTCCAATAAATGTGAACAGGTTAGAATCGCTAGTTAAAATCAGAGGCTTTTTGTTTGGGTTTTACAAGAGGAGAGGTTGAGCTTGTTTTGCAACCCTGAATGAAGAAGCTGAATGTGCCAAAGACCAGAGCAGGCTCCTGAAGTATTTACTCCCAACTGTCAACAGTGGCGATAACTGGTTGCTGAGTTTAGGACTCATCTTTGTTTTCTTTGTACCTTTCCATATTTTCTGAAATTTCCAGAAGGTGTGTACGTTGATTTTATCCTCCGGAAAAAAAGAGAAGTTGCTGTTAAAACCAGCAGGCCTGCACCTGCTGTCCAAATCCGTGCTGATCCCAAAGACACCCTATGGAAGTGTCCCTGCCCTCCAGGACCTGGTTGGAAATGGGACCAGTCGGACAGTGACAGAAGGGTGCAGGCCAGTGCAAAGATGGGGCTCCACTCCTGACTTAGAGCCCAGGAGGGCAGCAAGAATTAGCCAGCAGAGCCCTCTGGAGGAGGAGGCACCTGTAGTGTCTGTAGGATGTGGCCCAAAGCTGAGCCCAGGGTTAGCATCCCAGGCTGGGAGCATCCGCAAGGAGAGGAGCAAGGATGGGAGCCCATTAAGCCGGCCCAGGGGACACTGGGGAAGTGATGGGGGGAGTTGGGGCACAGAGGCCAGGAAGGCAAAGAGGTTGTACCTGGTGTGCTGTATGGATGGGCAGAGGGAGGGTGGGCAAGACAGAAAGCCGTGGGAAGGGAGTTACTCCTGAAATAGGCGGCCTCATACCCAAAGCACAGGAGAAGAAATGGCTGGGTCGCCATGATTGCTCCCTTGCCCCTCCTCCAGCTGCCACACATCACGCACACACATCTGCTGACACCACAGAGCCCTATGGAGGGCTCAGAGTGAGGGACAGCAAAGGGAGCATGGCCATCAGTGGCAGCAGACAACAGAGGGGAGGGTAGAGGGCAGGGGAGGGCAGGGCCACATGGGGGAGGTAGGGGTGCAGGTGGCTGACTTGGGCCCAGAACCCCCCCCCACACACACACACACAAGCTGAAGTCCTCGCAGCCCACAGATGTCACTCCTGGCTCACACCAGTCCCAGGATCAGTAAGGTCCCCAGCCAGCAGCTCTCTGCATGAGGCCTGGATAGTTCCCACTGTGAGGCCGGCAGGGATGCTGGGGGATGGCAGCAGCTCTGCCAAAGCCTCCCCTACACCTGTCAGAGACCAGGTGCCCCTGGCCAGGCCTCCCCGCCAGGCAGGAACCACTGTGCTCTGCCCCTGGGCCTCCCTCAGAGCTGGGTTAAACTTTGACTGATTTCTGACCCCTGTTCCGTAAATGTCACCTGGTCACAGTTTAATTCCAGTCTGGGTGCTTTCAGACTCCATGTTCCCCGCTTCCTATAACCAGCTTCTCCTGGAGGTTTGGGGCCAGCTCCATCTCTGGAAGGATGCTGGTGGCTTCAGGATCACACCTCATGGCTCCTGGTCCCAGTCAGAGCCACCACGAGTGACCGTTGCTGGACAGACTTCCGAAGAGCCCTGACCCAGAGTCAGCGACGGGGGTGGCCTCTGCCATGCTCCAGACTTCTTGGCTGATGAAGCAGGTGCTGCTGTGGGGGAAACAATCCCCCTGCATCGGCTCCTTGGCCCTGGGCCAGCTTCTGTGAGGTGGGCACTCCACTGGTCCCCCCGAGTGGGCTCCATGGCATTTTCTGAGCTCCTAGACCAAGTGGGTAGCCTAGGCAGGTTCCAGGTTCTCCAGATGGTGGCTCTGGTGGTCCCCATCGTGTGGCTGACCACTCAGAACATGCTGGAGAACTTCTCGGCCGCCGTGCCCAACCACCGCTGCTGGGTGCCCCTCCTGGACAACAGCACTGCCCAGGCCAATGTCCCTGGGGCCCTGGGCCCCAAGGACCTCCTGACCATTTCTATCCCACCGGGCCCCAACCGTGAACCCCACCAGTGTCGCCGCTTCCGCCAACCACAGTGGCAACTCCTGGACCCCAACGCCACGGCCACCAACTGGAGCGAGGCTGCCATGGAGCCGTGCGCGGACGGCTGGGTCTATGACCAAAGCACCTTCACCTCCACCATCGTGGCCAAGGTAAGAGCCTCTCCTGACACCTTCCCCGAGTCCCGGCACTTGAGAAGCCAAGGTCAGAGCTCATATTTGACTGGACTCAGAATGGCCCAGTCCTGGGAGGGACCCACGTCCTCACTCACCACAGGTGCTCTTCCAGCCCCTCTTCCAGCACATCTCCTGCCCTACGGGAGAGGGGGAGTCTGGGGAGTCAGCAGGGGACTTGGGCTTGTGGAAGAGTGGATGGTGCCGAGAGCCGGGCCGGACCTGATTAGCCGTGACTCAGGGAGCTCTCCCCACCGCCTGTGTCAGGGGGCAGGTGACCCCTAGAGTCCAGTCAAATCTGGGCAAGAGGGAGGGGCAGCCCAAGCCAGCAAGGGGAAGGGGGCTCTTTGTAGAACCAGAGAAGCCCAGGAGAGTGGGGACAAGGCCCCAGCTCAGGGTCGCCCTGCAGAGGGGGTGCAGCAGGGGAGAGCAAACGAGTCTAGAGAGGGCTTGACCCTGGACCAGAGGACAACAGGGTGACAGCCTGGCCCTATCACCCTAGAGGTCCGCAGGCCACCCTCCCCCACCTAGCTCACACGGGGCTTCCCACCCAGCGCCTCTGCCCCCTCCCTTCTGGGCTCAGCTCCCACTCTCTCACCAGTGGGACCTGGTGTGTGACTCCCACGCCCTGAAGCCCATGGCCCAGTCCATCTACCTGTCAGGAGTCCTGGTGGGAGCTGCCATGTGTGGCCACACCTCCGACAGGTGAGCGCCCCCGGCTCTGGCAAACCCCCCTTTCCTCGCGCCCTGCCCCCCATGCTCCCACAGAGCCCCGCTGCCAGCCACGACATCTGCATGGGTCTCGCTCCTGACACCTCCTGGCTCTGGCGCTGGGCAAGCCTCAGACTCACTCTGGGCCATGGCTTCCCCAAGTCTCTGGGGTCGGAGAGGGTCATCTGTCTGATCCCGCATTCACTGCTGAAATCCGCTGAGCCCCGAGCCTGCCTTCCTGTGCTGCTCCCGCTGGCAGGGGGCTCCTCTGTGCCCAGCACGCCTTAGAGCTGCCTGGACTTTGGGGACTCTGTCCGTGCAGCCAAGCCTTCTGTGGGTGGATAACTAAGGTCCCTTCCGCCTATGCCTGACAGGCAAACCCAAGGGCGTCCAGAGCCCCGTGGCTAGTGTTATGGGGCGCCGCGGATCCAGCCACCTGTGTGTCTGTGTGCCCGCAGGTTCGGGCGCAGGCTGGTGCTGACCTGGAACTACCTTCAGATGGCCGTGTCGGGCACGGCCGCCGCCTTCGCACCCACCTTCCCCGTGTACTGCCTGCTCCGCTTCCTGGCGGCCTTCGGCGTGGCAGGCGTCATGATGAACACCAGCACGCTCCGTAGGTCCCCTGACCCGGGCCCTGCAGGGAAGGCTGGCTCAGGCTCCCCGCTGACCCTGGCGGTCTTCTTGCAGTGATGGAGTGGACGTCGGCGCGCGCCCGAGCCTTGATGATGACCCTGAACGCCCTGGGCTTCAGCTTCGGCCATCTCCTGATGGGCGCCGTGGCCTACGGCGTGCGGGACTGGGCCCTGCTGCAGCTGGTGGTCTCCGCCCCCTTCTTCCTCTGCTTCCTGTACTCCTGGTGGGTGCCATCCCCCCTCCTCAGAGACCTGCCCCCCCCACCCCGCGAGCAGAGGGCTGGGGGTGCAGGAGGCCGGGAGCACAGCCAGACGGGAGGCCCAGGGGCCTGGCTCCGCTGACGGCCACCGGCCGGCGATGCTCACCCAAGTGCCTGTGGCGCCACTCCCCTCCCTGCCCCTCCCTGCTCCTCCCTGCTCCTCCTCTACTCATCCTTCTGCCGGCCGGTCCTTCCCATCACCTCTTGGCCCTTTTCCATCTTGAGTCCCTGCTTGCCTTGGCACGTGTGGGATAAGATGCAAAGATACAGGGCGCAGATGCGCACACACAGCCCCGGGCAGCCTTACATACCGACCCTGTTACTAAAGAACAGGGATGGAGACCCAGTGGTCAGAGGGGACTCCCAGCACCCACACTGGGCTCTCGTGTGTGAGCGGTCAGGGAGCCCTTGCGCTGCCCTGAAATAAACCCGGCATGGCTCTTGCTGAGCTCCTGAGAGGTGTAGGTGCAGAGTAAATATTTGTTGGATGGCCTCCTGGATGGATGGATGGATGAATGGATAGACAGACAGACAGAAAGATAGATGGATGGATGATAAACTAGTGAATGGATGGGTGGGTGGAGGGGATGGATGGGTGGATGGATGGGTGGATGGTTGGATGCCCTTTAGGGCAGAGCTGAGCCTGGCTCATTCACCTACACACCCAGCAACTTAGTTGCATGGCCATTGTGGTCACTGCAGAGGGAAGGCCAGCAGAAGCCCAGGGGAGGACGGGGCTCCTGCACTGGAAGGAGGGCTGACTCACACACCTCTCCAAGCCCAACGGGATGGAGCCGAAAGGTCTTACAACAGAGCCTCAAGCACCTAACTCACAGTCACTCTCCAGAGCAGGAGACAACCACACCTGGTGCTCTGGCTCGGAGATAGTGCTGCCTGACAGGTGGCCTTCTGCGGGCTAAGCCCCGTACTAGCAGAGTGGAGGCGGGAGGGCGGAGGGCGAAGGGCGAATGCCAATGATGTGGAGTCCAGGGCAACCCTCCTGGCTGTCTGATGCTGGCCTCGCACGGCTCATGGCCCCTACAACGGTGAGGGGGGTGCTCCTGTGCCAGTGCTCTCTCCCAGGCCACCCAACTGGGGGCCCCCAGCTCTGACTCCCTCCACGTGCTGCAGACCCTGAATTCCTTCATGGGTCCTGCTTCTTCCCTGGCCTCTAGCCTCCCGTTTGCCACCCGCTGTGTGACATCTCTATGACAGGGTCTTGGCATCACACCCCCACACTGGCTCTGTTCCAAGACTTCTGTAGCAGGGATAGCAGCCCCCACCCACCAGGTCCCAGAGTCAGGGGCACCATGATACCTCCTCCCCATCCCTCCCTGTCCCCCCACCTCAAGTTCAGCAGGTCACTGGGTCTTGTCAACTCTAACTCTAACGTGTGCTTGAGTCCCCCTTCTCTCCCTGGTTCTGCCAACCCTGGAGGACCTCAGGGCCACGTACACTTGGAGCAGGTGGCCCCACCCCTGGCTGCTGCCCCTGGGAGAAAGGGAGGCCTGCCTGGGGGGGGGGGGCTGCCTGAGCAGAGGCCCAGAGGCAGGAGCCAGTGGAGCGTGGTGGGCACGACAGGGGACTCAGTGGGCTGGGCCGGTACAAGCAGTCTGGACTGCTGTTGAGGGCTGTAGGGGTGAGGTTAGTGTTAGAGGCTGGGTCCTGGCGTGAGGAGGGGGAGCTGGGATGTGTTGGGTTCGCTAATGTCCTGGCATGGGCAACAGGGTCAAAAGTGAGGCAAGGGCAGTGGGGAGGGGTCAGGTGCAAGGCTTACTGGAGGGTGACAGGAATTGGTGGCTGCCTGTCCAGAGTAGGTGGAGGGGCCTGGTGACATCAGGACCAAAGACCCTGCCCCAGGCCTGAGCCCCTGGCTGGGCATGAAGTTGTTTGCAAGGAGGGGCCCCTGGGGGAGGAGCCAGCAAGAAGGCTGTGTGTGACAGCAGGGAGGCCCAGGACAGGAGGGGACCCTGGCGGGGCAGGGGGGAATCTCACAGGTCTGCTGGCCTGTAACCACGGGGGGTCCTTACGGCACACGGGTTCCTCCAGGCCCGGTTACCAGGTGAGGCAAGGGAAAGGCCACCGGGTTGTTAGGGGGGGACAGGGCCTCCCCACCACAATCCGAGAGGGAGAAGGAAAAAGACAGGAAGGGCCTATAGGGAGAGGAGAGTGTCAAATGGCGTGGCCTCCCTGAGCCTGGGGCCTGTGGGCACCAGTGATACCACCCCCGGGGACGGAAGGAGACAGAGGGGCAGTGAGGCTGTGGCCCTGGGAGCCACAGGCAGTGCCCCCTCCCATGTACCCCCCCGACCCCCTGCAGGCGGCTGGCAGAGTCTGCCCGATGGCTTCTCATCACAGGCAGGCTAGAGCGGGGCCTGCGGGAGCTGCGGAGGGCGGCCGCCATCAACGGGAAGAGGGAGGTGGAAGATGCGCTGACCACCGAGGTGAACTCAACCCTCAGACCCTGTCCCTGCCCCCGCACAGGCTCCGAGGAGGAGGGTCAGGGGGAGGAGGACTGGCGCAGGGCTCCCAGTGCTGACAGGGCACCCCCACCCCACCCCTGCAGGTCTTGCTGTCAGCCATGCAAGAGGAGCTGAGTGCGGGCCAGGCCCCCCCCAGCCTGGGAGCCCTGTTCTGCACACCTGGACTGCGCCTGCGGACCTGCGCCTCCACTCTGTGCTGGTAGACCGACGCCCCTTCAACCCCGCCCTGCCTGGCACCACAGCCTCTGCCTCTGGCCTGCCTCGGGCTGTCCCTGGCACCCCCCCACACTTCCACTGGAGACCCTGGAATCAGGGCTCTGGCTGGCATCCAGTCAAGGGGCCTCTAATGACTCCCCTGTCAGCCCACGGTCCTGCCAGCACGGCCACCTCCCCTTTAGTGGTCAGGCTCCAGGAGCAAGTTGGGGGGCGGGGACTGAACCACCCAGCCAGCTGGGAAGGAGAGTGCCCACCCACCCGGCCTGGAGGGGCCAGGGAGGAGGGAGGGGGATTATCAGAGCCCAAGAGCCAGTGCCACCCGGCAAGGACTGGCACCGCTGAGGTCACGGGGGAAAGACACACTCAGCAGAAGCCACAGGCATGGACGGGACAGGATGTGGCACCCAGAGGGAGGGAGGAGGGAATATGCCGCCCAGGCTTCCCTGGCCAGTGCACCTGTGCCTCCCATCAGGGCTCCCCATTGGCCAAACCTCACAGAGAGGCCCAGGGAAAGGTGGTCTACAGAGGCCACCCCACCGCTACACGGAGCCTGCAGGAGGAGGGTGGAAACGGGTCTGGGAACACACGAGCCGTTGGGAAGCTCTCCCCAAGCCTGATGCGACCGGCCCCCACCGCAGGTTCGCCTTTGGCTTCACCTTCTTCGGCCTGGCCCTGGATCTGCAGGCTCTGGGTAGCAACATCTTCCTGCTCCAGGTCCTCATCGGGGTAGTGGACATCCCGGCCAAGATAGTCACCCTGCTGCTGCTGAACCGTCTGGGCCGCCGGCCCACCCAGGCCGGGTCCCTGGTGCTGTCAGGACTCTGCATCTTGGCCAACACGCTCGTGCCCCTCAGTGAGCATGGCAGGGGCGTGAGGCTTCCCGACCTGGGGGCGCTGAGCCAGGAACAGAGGGCACTGGACCAGAGCGGGGGCCCAGTTAGGAAGGAGGCTGCCAGGGCCTCCGGGAGAGATGGCTCAGAGCCCGAATGCAAGGGGAAGGTGGGGAGCAGGGGGTCCAGGAGTGTTCCCGGGGTCTGGGTCCGGGTGTCAGGGTGGGTGGCGGTTTGGTGACAGTGAATGTAGCCATGAGATCACTCGGGACATGCTCTGGGGACACCCAGGTAGAGCTGAGTCACAGACATTGGGAGGTCGGAGAGGGGCCTGGGCTGGAGAGAGCCCCCATCTGACCTCGGGGCCCCTGCCACCAGCTTTGCTTAAGCCCATCTCTGTCTGCAGAGATAGGGGCCCTGCGTTCAGCCCTGGCCGTGCTGGGGCTTGGGAGCGTGGGGGCTGCTTTCACTTGCATCAGCATCTACACCGGGGAGCTCTTCCCTACCGTCCTCAGGTAAGGAGGCGCCCGGGGCTGGGAGGGCATGGTGGGGACAGCCTTCCCCAGCCTTGGCCATTCCCACCGCCATCTCCCTTCCACGTGGTCTCAGGGCCACCCAGGTGCGTCCCAGCTCAGCCTGGACCCCTGGGCCACCCTGGACAGGGGGTGGGGGGGCCCTCACTGGTGTGTCTGCGACGACAGGATGACCGCTGTGGGTCTGGGCCAGATGGCAGCCCGTGGGGGAGCGATCCTGGGGCCTTTGGTCCGGCTGCTGGCCATCCACGGGCGCTCACTGCCCCTGCTAGTGTACGGCGGGGTGCCCGTGCTCAGCGGCCTGGCTGCTCTCCTGCTCCCGGAGACCCAGAGCCTGCCGCTGCCCGACACCATTCAAGATGTGCAGAACCAGTGAGTGAACTCCACCCGGGGCCACCTTCTTTGTACCCCCAGGGAAGCCCAGAATGGGGCAGCCCTGCCCCCCAGCCCCTCCCCTGGGCAGAGGGAGAAGCCAGGGCACAGAAATCCGGCTCAGTCACATCGTACATCTGTGGGAGGGGGGAGGCCAAAGGCTGGGTCTCCTGGCTTACAGTGTGGACTCGGTCTCCTGTCCTTCATGCTGCCATCTGAGGCCCTGATAGCTGGCCCGCCCTCTGCTCCACCTTACAAGAGGTCAAGGGGAAGGACGTGTGTAGTCCTTCGGAAGGGGGAGGGCCAAGTGTGCGATGGGCATTGTTGGGTGGCCTCATAGGCCCCAGACTCTCCCGCTGAAACCCCTGGATGGCTGGCAGGGTTGTCACCGCCACCCCCTCCCCAGGACGCTCTCAGGGAGCTCCTTCCTGGGCTGGGGAGAGCAGGGCAGGAGTCCTGCCCCAGTCCTCAGGAGGGCCACAGTGCAGGGCTCAGAGGTCACGCTGCACCCAGGAGACAAAAGCCTCTTGTCTTTCGTGTCTGAACAGGGCGGTAAAGAAGGCGACGCACAGCGCTCCAGAACACACTGTCCTGAAATCCACACACTTTTAAGCCTCCTGGGAATTCTGCAAAGTGACATGGGGAGGGGCACTTCTCTCCTTTGGAGAAGGCAGGACGGCAAAGGCCCCCATCTCTAGAAGAGGACCTAGGGGCGGCCCCTCTCTGCCTGAGGAGCCACCTTCAACAGAGCAAGCCCAAGAGGATGGCTTCTGGCTGCCGGCTGCCCTGTGCACCCTCACAGGACTCTCCCTCGTGACTGCGAGAAGGAGCAGGGACCCTGGGAAGCTGTCACCCCCCGCTCCCCTCCCCACTGCTCACGGCCCCCAGCTGCCCACGGCTCCCCCTCCAAGCTCGGAGGGCACCATCACCCAAGGTCAAAACTTCCCCAGTTCCTCACACTGGTCCCAGAGCCCCGCACAAGTCTCAGATCCTCAGTGGTTTCCAAAAGACAGTTCTGGCCTCCGGTCCCCCCTCTCCACACTGCAGCCACAGAGCCAATCCTCCCCACCCCTTCTCTACCTGACGGAGTCCCTCCCAGACCCATGGCAATGGCCTCCATCCGGGGGCCCAGCCCAAGGCCATAGTGAAACCCTTACCCACAGTCGCAACCCTGCACCAGAGTCCCACCCGGCCAGCCTCAACGTTCCCAGAGGGCTGGGGGGCCCGCTTACCCCTTGACCTCAGCTCCCACACAGAGCCTGACAGGAGGCCCACTGGTGCGAGGGAGACAAAAGAGGGAATAAAGGAACAAATGACAGCCCCTAGCTGACTCCAGGGATGAGCTGTGGGTTCCGGGCGGGGGTGGGGATGGTGGGGAGCTCCTCAAGGGGCTGGCCCTTTCCCAGGCCAGAGCATCAGCCCTTTCAGGCCTGTTGTGCGCTGGGCATCCCCCTGGTACCTCAAGGCATCATCTTATCTTTTCCCAAACCCTTCAAGAAAGACAGCCCATTTTACAGATGGGAAAGTAAGGCTCAGAGAAAGTGACTGCCTGTGACCTGCAGCTGGGAGCAGAGAGTCAAGAGCCCAGCCCCGGTCTCCAGAGCCCTGGCTACGACATCCCCTTCCCCCCTGGCCTCAGACTGTACAACCGGGCAACCAGTGAAACCTCTTGAGGCTGACACCTCGCTCTCAGAATGAGCCAGGGCCCCATGGAGTCCCCTGGCACCCCTTACAGGAAAACCGCAGACAAGGGCTCAGATGGAAGGGGGTGGATGCCCGAGCTCCCCAAACACAAACGTGGGTGCAGGCGGAAGCCATCTGCGACTCATAGGGGTCCCCACCACCCCAGAGCTGTGCTCAGGTGACCTCTGCTTCTGCCTGGGTCACTGTTTCTGGGCAGCTCCACGAAGGGCTGTGCCCTGACACACACGTACACACACACACACACACACACACACACACACACACACACAAACCAGCGATGGGAACACTTGTGCTCGTACACACAGATGAGCAGAAAAACAGAAAGCTGCTCCTTGCCCCTGGGAGACAGGATCACTCACTGGCCTGGTCTTTCCGCCGCAGCCCGGGGGCCTCTCAGGGGAAGAGAGAGTGGGATCATGTCTTTCAGCCAACACAGGCTGCCCCTCAGTGCAGAACCCCAGGACAAGGGCAGTGGGGATCACGTTTGTAAAGCTGCCCAAAGGAAGGTTTGTCTCAGCCTGCCCGGAACTTTTGGTCCTGTCTGCCTGCTGCCCAACTGAGCGACAGCTACTTCCTTAGCCTTGCTCGGCATTCTTGGGGCCCCCTGGTGTCCAGAAGCTTCCAGAAGAGAGAACACAGGGCTGGTGAGAGATGGCTCCCCCTCTCCCCTAGAGTGTTCTGTGGTTCACCAAGTGGTCAGAGCTACCCCTCTGCCCACATTCAGAGCAGACTTGCTCCCGGCCCTTCCAGGGGGTCCCAGTCTTCTAGAACCCAGGACCTACCTGCTTCCAACATGTCCTCCCCTCACTGAACTCAACAGGACCCGGAAGCTGGGAGGTTCCAGGGCAGCTGGGGGTGTCATCACCATGGTGGAGTGGGTGCCTTGCCAAGGGAGAGGGGACTCTCCTGGCAGTGGTCACAGGCCCGCTTTCCAGCTGGACACCATCACACAAAAGCAGGCCTTGGGCCACACCCTCTCTTTTGATGCTCCCACAGGTAGCTCCCGAGCACAGAGGCAGCAGTGGCACCCTGCAATGGGAGAGCCATGGGAATTGGGTGTGGGAAGGAAGAACCCATCAACTACCCCCACAGGCTCATTACCCCCATGGCAGTAGAGGCCTCAGGCACTGGGGACAGGACAGTGGCTCAGGACCCTCTCCGGCCATTCTCCTATCTCCAGCCAGGCCTGCAGCTCTCCCAAAACGGGGTGTGGGGAGCGCAATGCAGGCTCCTTCGGCTCCAGATATGAAAGGGATCCAGGAAAGGGATGTCCTCCCAGAATGGCGAGGGCTGTACACGTACAGCCTGGGTTCCAGCCCTGGCTGAGCTTGTGTTCCTTCCCCTGGGGGGTTGTGTGGTCTTCAAGGTCAAGGCATCAGCTAGACCCCACTTGGAGCTTCCTCCCCAACTCTGTCCTTGATCCTCCCCAAGTGGACTCTCCTGACATATCCTTGCAAGTACCACGTGTCCAAAAGCGAGGTTCCTGGAGTTCCAGTCACCCCCAGATGCTGTTTGCACACTCCTGGGGTTCACTGCCAGGCCAGCCAGACCCCAAGAAGCTCAGCTCAGGCCCAGTGTTAAGTTCAACATCAGATGCCCAGACGAAGGAGCTGAGACTGAGGAGACCATATCTCACAGATGGATAAACTGAGTCCATGGTAGAGTCCAGAAATCTCTCCTCTTACAACCAAGCCCTCAAGTGACAGGAGCTCTTAGCCTCCCAACACAGAGAGGAAAACACCCAGTCCTACAGCCACATGGCAGTGAGCAGGACTGGGACCTGTTCTTCCAACTCCTGCACTGTCCCTCTTTCTGGTCCCTTACTCTGATAGACTGTTTAGGACAATTCTAGAAATTTCTGGAAAAAAATGTTCCCTTCTTGGCACCATGGAACTCCTGCCAGTTTCTATTTGTTTTCTTTGGCTAGCGGTGATGGGGCAGAGGAAACTGAGATGTTTCCATCCCTTGGTCAGAGAGAGCAGCCGTCAAAGACCCGGGCACAAGATTGTCCCTGGCACAGGGACAGGATGTCCCGGCAAGACTGCCCTGAGTCAGGGCCTCCCTCTGGCTTCCTTGGAGTGGGGGGGTTAGAGCTGACCTCAGGTTCCAAGACTGCGAGCAGCGGGGGGCGAGCAGAGCCCATGCCTCCCCCAGGTGGTTGGTTCAGAAGGGCAAGGAGAGGCAAAGTCTATGGAAATCCACACCTGGGGGGTGGCTGCAGGACAGCTCTCACTGTGGCTGCCCCAGCTCCTGTGGACATCAAGCCCAAGGACCCTGAGAGGGATCCACGCCTAAACATGGGCCAGACTTGTGAGCTGGAAGCTGCAAGAAGGAACTGGCCGGCGTCAGAGCTACCTGTGGTTGGAAGCTCGAGATGCAGATCTGAGGGGTGAAGGGTGATGGCAAGCCAAAGGCACGAGAAAGTAGAGTCAGGAGAGGGAGGCAAGATCCCCCAGCACAAAGTGGGGGAGACCCAAGTGGCAGAAGCAGGGCTGAGTCACAGCTCATGTGTCCAGTGGCGTGGCCATCTACCACTGCCATGTGGGAGATGAGGACTTCCCACACTCTGTTCCCCAGAGAATGCCCATAGGCCCAGGGCCTCAGGTACATACAGCCCTCGCCATAAGTTTCTACTCCTTGCCACCGAGCTTAGCAAATACAGACCGGCCTCGAAGCGTGTTTGGGACCGTGGCCCTGTTTAGTGTCTCCAGGAAGGAGCAAACACCTGGGGGGGAGGTTCTGGAGCCCCAGGACCTACCCATAGTCAGCCAGCACGGACTGGAGGTGGGGGGGGGGCTACAGATGATAGGGTCCAAATCCTTAGAGATGCAGAAAAAGCAGAGACTCTGGAGTTAGGCAGAACTGGGCAGGGGGGTCAATGCAGACTCAGCCACTGAAGCTCTTGTCACCCAGGAATAATACCAGCTTCCCCAAGGGCTTTAGAAATCCCAGGGCTCTTGCAAGACCCACGCACAAGCAGCATAGACACACTTTAACCACTAGGGGGCAACATGACGCTCTTGCCTCTGGGGATTTGTCCTGAGGTCTCAGGTGGGTGGGCTGTCCCAGGCCACCCACCAGCTGGTCCGCAGCCCCATCCTCAGGCCAGGAGGGACATGAGGGTGAGACAAAGACAGGCCGCCCCCAGGAACCCAAAACCGTGCTCAGCCCAAAACTCTGGAGGCCACTTACCAGCTGTCACTGGCCAGTTTGTACCCAAACCCCAGAACAGAGACAGGACCGATGTCCCAACATTACCCATCCCCCAAAAAACTGCACAGGACCATTGGATTTGGAAAGTTTTTGTTTTCTTTTCCCACACATTTCCGGGGTTGGGGTGTTTTCCAAGACTCAGACACATTTGTTAACAAAGAGAGAAAAAAAACTGGGGGAGCAGGGAGCCCGTGGGCAGAGAAGTGACCCCAACAGTCAGCGGGCAACGCCCAGCTCTCTCTCTTCCCTGATGCCCGCGCCCAACGGGTGCCACAGGCTGCTGCTCGCGGTATCTAGATAATTTGTCTTTAATATATATCTGCATTTGCCTTTCCCCTCCCTCCCGCCCCCCCACCCCTGCTCCTCCAGCAGCTTCCCCATCAATGCACGTCGCCCGGCGGCACACAACAGAACAGGCCTTTCCAGGCCCCGAGCCCCTTCCCTGGGCGGCACCAGGCCAGCGCCTCCTCCTGGTGGGCAGAGTCGGGGCGCTTGGGGGGGCCACCCCACTGCCCCGCCCCGCCCCTGCTCCCCTCCCGCTGGGCCACTGGGCCCACCCGCCCGCCCTTCTCCCACCGACTCTGGAAACCCAAAGGTAGGAAAGGGAGAAACCAGACACACAAAAAAAGAAGTGGAGAGGGAGGGTGGGGACAGAGAGACACAGCAAGCCTGGGATGGGGGCCGGAGGGCTTGGG